GCGGCCTAGTAACAGTCCTTTTTGAACACCTGGTTCTCCGTCGCTATTCAGTACTTATAAGCCAATTGAATCGCCCCATTGAGTGAAACGTTGTTTGAGTGTTGTTCAAATGTATATCGAAATACTAGCCACTGATACTAATCTATATTTGAACGTCATTTAACCTATTGTCTTTGGTGGATTTTTGCCTTAGCTTCAAAGATACCGTCGCATCGTAAACGACCCTTTCTGAGACGAGACTAGGATCAATATTATTGCAGTTTTCTATGGAAGAAGATTTCTTTGATCCGGATTTTCTTTTGCCGTATATAAGACCAGACCGTCTCAGCCCGGATGCCTTTCAAAGGATTAGCGAGTTGTCAAAACTGAAAATACCCCGTCACTTTTTGAAAAAATATTTTAAAAGTAAGACTCGTATTTTGTGAGAACTGTCGAACCCATTCATTTCAGCTCATTTTCGTGCTACCATTTCTAAAGCCCAGCTGAAGAACTTTAAAGATGGATTGTATCAGGTACGTCAGTCAGTCTCGCTTTTGTTCCGTTGAGCAAATTCGAGCTATCGACTATTTGTGCAGTATGGTTTAAGGGAAACCTATTTAAATGTGAAATGTTCGAAAGTGTACAGTTTATTAGACGTAGTGCCCAAAATCGTGGAACGAACTTATGGATTTTTTTCGGATACTAAGACTCATGTTAAATTCTAAAAATAAATTTCAATTTAGCGTTCATCGTCTACTGTTAAACATACAGAAATATACGTCTGTGGTCTTTCAGCTTCCGATGCTACAAAAACGATTCTGATGACGACAAATACGCCATAAGTGGTTGTTCTAGTGTTCTTATATTTCCGTTGCTGAATTGACATTTTTCTCGAAAGCACATTGTCGTTAGGCGCATTCTGGATATCTATTTACGACCTAAGGAGTAGGTTTAACGGTAGAACTTCCATTAGTTTTCCTTTTCTGTCGTTTTTCTGCGTGCACATCATGGACCACTTCGTATTAAAATATAATTTTTAGATTCCAACGAGCCCTCCTGCCGAAAGCCCAACTACCAGTGACATGGGGGATGTCGTGAATGTGGAGGAGTGGTCATCCGCGAATAGCCCAAACGACGAACCTCAGACAGGGCCTATGGAAACACAGGACATCGGTCAGACTGAAGTCCGGACTTCAGTTTGTACACAGTGCATTAAGAACATCACTGACGAGGCCCTTGTCGACGTAAGTTAGAGCTTTCATATTTAACTAAGTTTGGTACGAATTTTTGTCAGATGCTGTCACGACTGCTATTCACTATCAGGCATAGCTATGTTTTAACCACAAGGTTCAGGCGCTGGCTTTGCTCTACGCAAACCTAATTTGCTGTGCTACTGAGGAAAAGATGCCGTATTTTTGTAATATTTGCGCAAGCAGCGTTTGTAACCACCTTAATCTGATACTGGAGTTCACTCAAATCTGCTAACTTCGAAATCCTTAGACTCGCTGGCCTTCACCGTATGTATAAAAACTGTTATCTTTTGCGGCGAACGAGTGCGAACCCTGTCTTTCTTTAATTTTTCGTTCTCGACGCTAACTTGGTCATGACTCTTGAATAGGATGCGCTTAGTCCGTTTTCATGGCCACTTTGTATGGAATGTCCCCTACGGGCTTAAGGTTTGATTTTTTGAAACACCGTAAAACTTATGCTGAAGCAAGCGTGTACCCCAGCGACCTAGGGTTCCTTGCTTATGCCTAAGCATTTCGGTAAATTAGTTATTTCGAATCGATTAGTATTTACTGGGTTGTCCACAAGATCAATATCCCCTAGGTTGCCGATTAAAATGAGATCTCTATTATCCAGTCAAACAAGCCTCCATAGCATGAATGCATGGATATTGGCCTCAAAAAGACCATGCGAAATTGTGTCACCGATGCCTGCCATCTCTAACTATGTTCGTGAATTGACATTAAATGCACAAAGACACTTGCGAACGTCCTCAGTCAAACAAATGCTAACATGATAGGATTCAAGGTATTCAGAAGTTCAAGGGCACCCATTGCAAGTCGGCCACAATGTGAGTCCAGAAATGCCTGTTCGCTGCGTCAATCCCAAGCTGTGAAATTAGGGTAAAAGAAAGAAAGTCGATCAACCTTGTACTGCTCCGGCACAGAGTGCAACTAAAGTGGTCCTTTGTGCTCTCTTCCGCACTCCCATACCCTCTCATATGTCTGACCGTTTATTACTTGCCATGTTGGACCTCTTATGACTTACTTCTACCCTCAGTTGATGAAACCTCTATGGCATGTCTGAAGGTTCTCCTCTGCATATCCCCTATCACACTACTTATCGGGCATGATTCTCATTCAACGATTAGCCACCCAAGGAGTTACATACTTGATGCTGGCCGACACATCGAAGTAACCGCTCTTATATTGATAAGCAATCTACTATTTGCATCCGGGTGCACGGTGAAATCAGGGTTTTCCGTCCCGGTCTTACGTAATCTTCTGTTTTAGAATTGCCTTTTAGGTTAATTTTGAGTGATTTTTCACCGATTTGGTTGGATCATAGAACATTTTGTTCTACTCTGAAGCTCCGGCCTCAAGACCCCGCAGGCGATCGCAAAGACAAGGTAGACGGGAATGGCCATTTATAGCTTATTAGCTGTCATAAGCCTGTCATATTCAATCCCAGGCGTGGATCACCCCAGATTGGAACCGGTGACCCTTTGGTAATGGAGTGTACTATTCCAACACTGAGCCACATACGCGTTGCTTTATCAACTGTGATCGGGAACAAAATGAATGTTAAGGCTCCCATCGAGCTGGTTAGGGCACATGCTCGTTGCATTGTGCACCAGAGCTCAAGCTAGAGCCCTCACAGGCAGTTACCTAGCGACTTGTACTATTGCCGATTGTTTCCCACGGAGCGTTAATCCGTGATCCCAATGGTGAACCGTTTAGTCTGACTTGAGACATCATGTCTTTTCAACCTGAGTGCATAAATTACCTGTCTAGCGGCGACAGCGAGGCCAGAAACAACACTTGAAGCCTTCTTTGTGTTTGTAGTTAGTGTTTACATCCAGCGCTTAACTTTGCCTATAACAAGTAAGATGTACACAGTGTTATCTTTGTACCTCTCGCTCCGTATTCACTTCCACTGCCAGGACCAATAAAGACCGTTTTGGGAACATTGACTAATAAGGCATCATTTTACATATTTGCGTGTTCTACAAGAATTTGATGTCGTATTTATACGCCTGCGCCCGATGTCACCTCTGGTCTTGTTGGCTCTATCTTGATACCGGGCACAGGCAGCTAAAGGAAGGAGTGTGATAGGTGCAAGACAAGTCTAATATCAATTATAATTGATCTCTGCGTAAGACACCGTCCCTGCGCCACCAGGTTGTGGAGCGTACGGTGGAAATAGTTCGAACCGACTGTTTTATGTTTCATATTAATCGCAGCAGACTCGCTCTTCCATCACACACCTCAGCCTGATGACAAAACAGCGCCAGGACCATCGGAGGCAGGATCTGGCGCAGTGTCGGACAAAGCTAAGCAGCCCGTCTACG